ATATCATATATATATATATATATATATATATATATATATATATAACATGACTCGACTACGAAGTCATTGATTTGCTGTCAAGACAGCTGGCAGATGAAATTTCTTCTATACAAATCTGACAACGCTATCCACCACGACCGCAATACCATGAACAGAGACGCACTCAATTGACCGCACGAATCAATGGGTGAATGAGTGTCTGAACAATCTGTCCCACCAAAGTCAGTGACAAGACAAGCGAAAAAGGCCATTGCGTCGTATCAGCTGGACGATTCACGAGCCAGTCCTGTGCCACATAGCAATCTTCAGACAAGGACAGAATTGTAATGGGGTCAAATTTTCTCATAGATCGTTTCCCAGACTTGAACAGTACATCACCAAACAGAAATTAGTCCGTAAGAAGAAGTGATTAGCTTCTGTTAAGATTGGTTTCGAAGATACCACAATACACCACAGATGTGTTTGTCGACATTAGTTTGCTTTAGAAGTTGAACTGTTGGTGTAGTTGAAAGGAAAATTTCGGCCGAAAATAGCGGTTCCAGATAAATCAGACCAGTGTAGAATTAAGGTTTGGCACACAGTAGCAGTACGAATGTATTTATTACACAATCCTATTTGGATGCTAGCAGCGAGAGATTTACGGCGGAACGAGGTTCCACAGAGCATTTTGCACGTATTCGGCAAGTGACTATCCTATTTGTTTCCAATAGATGATATAGTAAGGGAAAATACGCCGCCCCCCGTTGTTCTCTCCTGATATGTGAATGGTCTCCATCACTTTTTTTCAAATTTAAAAGCATAAGCTTACTGAAATTTATTGGTGTTCAAATAAGAATATTGGAATGTTAAAAATGAACGGGAAAAACCAACTTGTCTGTATTAGGCTAGTTTGAGCCCAGTTATGGCTCCAATGATTAAACTTGAGGTTGTCCAAGCCTAGTAGACACAGGAGCAGTCAAGTTGCAGAGGTTGGATTGGAACCACGGACATTCCAGTTAGTAAATTCGAACTCCAACCACTGAGAAATCCAGAACTCTACCAGTATCAACAATAAGACTAGTGGTCATGCTTTCTCAACTACAACTAATTCGGGCTTTTGGTCTCTAGAAATGTTGAGACTGCACTTACAAAGATCACTTTGCTGCGAATAGCGCACTGAATTTCTCGGTAGTCCTAGTGTTCAAAGTTTCGGCAGGAAGTTCTAAGGGTATTTCGTGCGCTGTGTGTGTCAAGTCAATAACTAAGCGCGCAAATATGTTCGTCAACTATAGAAGATAAATCCTGAGGCAGGAAAATGCAAGGATGAGAAGCTAGAACACAATGAAACAAGGGGGATGTGAAACTCACACGTTGTTTCTCTGTGGGAGTCGCCTGGAAAAAAATAAAAAACAACGACAAGCGGATGAGACTGAAGCGGGAAACAAGTAGCAAGGTATAGCAGAGACAAACTGTTCTCAGATAATACCGTGTATGAGTACCTGATGAGTCGAAAGGGGAAAGTTCCGGAAACTGGATCATTAGGAGCGATTTTACATGACCTAATCATAACTGTCACACTGACATGCTAGTTGGGCATGAGTAATGATAATGTAATGATACCGCAGGCTAAACTAACTGGAACTTCGTTCGGCAAGGTTCAACCATTCTAGGAAGGCCAAAGGGGAGCAACCAAGCTCCCGTATTAGGAGTAGTTGGAATACCAAGTGGTCCGGGGGCTCAGGTCGTACAATTTTCTGCGATAGGATTGTGAAGACGGTAAGGTGTTTCCCCAGGGAAGTGAAAAAGGCTGGCCCTAGAAATCGCACACTCTGATTGCCCAACGGTTGACTGTGATCGCCGGCGCACATGTCGAGATATATATCAAATGAAAGTTTGGCGATGCTTCGAAGGTAACTGATGTGCGCAATCACACCAGGAGTCAGATAGCTATGCCCTACTCCCTGCGTCCTCAAGCTAGCTAAGCTTCCCTCATTCAAGCAAGACTATCGAGTCGGAGGCTCCGGAACAAAAGCCTACCTTCTTCCACTGCTTTGTTCGTCAGAACTTGAGTCCAAGGTTCAAGGTGGAGAATCCCAGACAAACCCCTTCCTCCGCCTGGACAACCGGGGATAATATTTGCCCGCGCAATTTAAGAGTAGTCTTCTTGACTTTTCAGCTCAAAATACCTGTGAATATGGGTCCAGGGTTGAATAATTCCCCCTACTGGCCTCTAGGTCTTCAGACAACAAGATTCAACACACTTTCGTGATCCCCTTCAATTGCGGTTGGATGGTGGATGCAACTGCTCGGAACTAAAAGCACTTCCTCATGACGAAAAAGTCGAGTCAACTGACTGACACCTGATGCAGGTGATTACGGTTCAACTATTCGCTGAGCCTTGCAATTCCGTTGCAAATGTTTCGTCATCAATTGGAGTGACATCACCAGTGCGTCAGCGGTTTTGCATTTAGTAGGTGTGCACGAGCTTACGTAGTATTTCTGAAAGAAAGGTGACCTTCGAGCACAGTCTAATCACATGAATAAATCATACGCAAAAGAACGGCAATGCTTACGTTTGAGTGGAAACTTGGGGGGTAAAGAACCCAGTTTCGAAGGTATATATCAACAGTGGTTAGACCCAGCAGAGCCAAAAATGTTTCGTTTTGACAGATGGAAAATCATGAAACGTCTGACGTAGACCAGTGTTTAGGTTTGGGAGATTGCCAACCGATTTAATAGGAGTTCTAGCGTGCAGCTGTATTTTCCGGCCTGGAATCCATAGACCCTTATAGATACCTTTTAGTCGCTTTGTTTATGCACGCCCGAACAACCAGACAATGCACACATTGCGGCCTACCTCAATCTCGCCCACAACGACCTGACGATGGAGTGGTGTGGTCTGTGTCACCATCATCCGACTGCGTTTTGATTGGCGGTGTTCATCAGTCATAATGAGTTCTCCACGTAAGCAAAAAGGAAGCATGAGGCACTTGAGCTTGCAGAACAAAAAGATCAGAATTTCTAGAACTAGAGCTTCAGATGCAAATCTTGTAGTTTGTGCGTGCCACTGAAGAATTGTCATTATAGTATTCAGTAGTGTGCATAAACCACTGGGTTGGTAGTTGGGCTATTCGCTGAGCTTGGTTACACACGTCTCATCATCAACCAAGGTGTTAACTTTAAACTGGCACCATCAACATGGGGTATTTGGTGGTATTCCAGAAAAGGGGTGAAATACGGTCTTGCCGGGATTATTCAGCATTGAAGGACTCTAAGAAAAAGTGAAACTATAATTATGTATGTAAGACTAATTTGGCGGGGGGGGGGCGCACTCTGCATAGGATCATTTTTTATAGTTGGTGTGAGCTCGTCACTGGAGTTCTCGA